GAAGTGACATGAGATGAAGCTGGAGAGATGAGCAAGGATCACAACTTGCATGGTTGTCTAGACGTATAAATAGTTTTTTTGTTTTTTAAGATTTTTTTTTAAATTGGGGAATTGGGGGAGGGGAACAGTGTTGGGGAATCGGGGAAGGGGAACAGATAAGTTGCTGTCCTTTTGTTCTTTAGTCTAGTTGTAGAGGACATCACTTCATTGGCCCATTTTGGTATGATCACTGCTCTCTTCCCGGGTGAGGCAGATCAGTTGCCAGCTTCTGGATGGCTGCTCACGCTGGCTGCTGGCTACACACGGTAGCCCATGGCAACCCACTGCAGCAGGGGCTGCAGCCTACGCCGTCGCAGGCGACTCACGGCAGCCCAGCTCCAGGTCATGCTGTTGTTCACCATCTTAACTGCAGAGGGTGCAGCATCACTGGCCCTAATGTGGGATCCGAACCTGGGCCCTGCTTCTCAGAGCTGACGTCCCAAGACAACTCTTAACCAACACGCCACTCGGCCGGCCCTAAATAGTTTTATTTTCTGTGCAGTGTGATGCCACTGAAAGGTTTTAAGCAAGAAAGGGGCATTTGGAAAAGATCACTTTGGCTTTAGGGTGTGATGGATTCAGGAGGGGCAGAGAGATACCGTCTTACTCTGTATGAGCTGCTGTAACAAAATGCCATAGACTGGGTAACTTATAAACAAAAGGAAATGTATTGCTCACAGTTCTGGAGGCTGCAAGTCCAACATCATGGTTGCCTTCTGGTGAGGAACCTCTTCCTGGGTCAGAGTCAGCACCTTCTCACTGTGTCATCAAGTGGTGGAAGGGGCGAGTGACCTCCCTGGAGCCTCTTTTATAAGGGCACTAATCCTATTCATGAGGGCTCCACCCTCATGATGAAAGCACCCCCAAAGGCTCTGCCTTCTAATACCATCACCTTTGGAGGTTAGAATTTCAGCATATGAATTTGTGGGGTGGGGCACCAACATTCAGACCACAGCAGGTACGAAGAACAGAGGTGAGGAGGGTAGTTAAAGGTATTGCAAGCCCAGGTGGGAGATGATGGTGGCTTGTACTGGGGTATTGGCAGTGGAGACAGAGAAAAATTGATGGATTAGAGACATATTATGTGTGTAAACTCAAGAGTCTCAATAATCCAGGAGTAAACTGACTACCAAGCCCAGGAACTCCTAAACTGTGGTAGCTAGCTAACAGAATCATCTAGGGAGCTACCAAAACCCGATCGCTGAGTCCCATCCCTAAAGTTTAGGATTCAGTAGTCTGGGGTAGAGCTCAGGAGGCTGAAATCTCCGTGAGCCCTTGAGAGATTCTGATACAAGGCCAGGCTGGAAAAACCCATGGATTTTTACCATTATTCCAAGTTGACTTTATTCCCACACTCAAGATGCTTTGGGCTGTCTCCTCACATGGCCCAGCCAGCACGTGTTAAGAGCATAAACTCATCTCAAAGCAGTAACATATTAGGAAGTGGCAACAGTGCTGCTCATTCAAGAGAGTTCAAGCCCCACAGCCAGTCTATCCTCCAACAGCAGGAGTGTTTGGGGAATTGAGCTGTCCTATTCAATCAACTCTCTAACCTTGTTTTGGATACTTTGTTAAGCACGTTTTCTAAAAGTGTGGTTTCAGCTTCTTGTAAACAGCAGAATAGTAGGCATATGTGAACCTTTGACGATTGGGGTGCTTCTGAGCTTCAGGATTTTTGTTATTCTAGTCTGGAACTGGAGTTGGTGAGTTGAATTTGCCTAAAACAGCAGGCTTCCAAAGGCAGAGGCCAAGGGGAAGAGGCTTTAGTGCCCCTGACGCCCTAGGATCTCCAGTCACAGTCCCCCAACCCTCACCCCCACCCCCAGCGAGCCACCACACATACACACTATGTAAAAGCAGTGCATTTGTGCTACCAAAACAGGGTTTCAAGCCACTCCAAATAAGCTTGCATTCTAAGTAAATTGAAACCCCTCATTCCCCCTCTTGCTGCCCTCTTTCATAGAATCTCTGTTACAGAAATTCTGGAACCATCACTGGCTCCAGGAAGGATCTGATACCAAACCAGATCCTCTTCCATATATACTGATATAAACTTAAAATTCTACTGGTTTTATTCTGCTTCAGGCCAAGATGGACTAATAGGGACTCCATATACCTCCCACCCAAAATAACCAAAAACTGGAAAAATATATGAAAAAACCCCCCAGCTTTTAAGACACTGGACATCAAACAACAAAGGCAATGAGCTCTGAGAGGTGGGAAACAGGGTGGGAACTAGCGTTTGCCCCAGCTGACTGCCATGGTGCAGGGAGGCGGTGATAGATACTGATTGTGGGGATGGTTTCATGGGTGTGTACATATGAAAAAAAAAATGCATCAAATTGTACACTTTAAATATTGCAGTTTATTGTTTGTCAATTATACCTTAAAAAAAAGCTGTTCAAACAAAATTCTACTCAGCAAGCTCTCCTTGATTCTGGCTTTGATGCCTATTAAAATGGAAATCCCAGTGAAGGGGGAACCATTTTAAATTTGTATTATTAAGTTATCGCACTGGTGCCAATAAAAACCCATGTGCAGAATTCTATAAGGAAAGCAAGGAAGCTTAACTCGCGAAGGTCGAAGGTTGGGGTGAGGCCTGCACAGAGAAGGGGAAAGAGCATAGGACAGGGAAATGCAAACAAACTTGTCCAGGGCGTCCCCAGCTAGAAACAGCAGGGGTGGTTTCACTGGGAATGCACGGTGCTGTTTTTCAGTTGCCAGGATACAAGGGGAGTGTTACCGGGAGTATTTAGTGGGCAAGAGCCAGAGAAGCTCAGGTCCCACGCTGTGGGACCATGCTGCACAACACGGAAGGGCCCCCCACAAAATGCCAATAGCACCCCAGTGAGAATCCCTAGTGGAAGGAATTCGGTTCTACAGGCTGTTGGTGCCTTCCCCAATCCTAGCATTTTAAAGGGGTCTCGGTGTGCATCCTGAGCTGTAGTTTGCAATGCAAAACAGAACACTTACCAGTCATACCCTGTCTTAGCCAGCAAGTTTTTGTGATGTTGCAGCTTCAAATACATATAATCAGAACCTCCAAAGCCTTGAGGACCCTGACAGGAATACAGGGACCATTTTTAAAGCTAACTCCTTCAACCCTAAAAATCTTTAAGAAAATTACAGATACCGTAGCCAACTTTCCATCCATTTTCTTTTCCAAAATAGTTGGTTGTGAAGTTAAAATTCTGTAAAGCAAATTGGTGATGTGTTCCCAGGAGAAAAAAGAATCATGCTAAACAACAAGAAAACTTGATTTTGGTGCGAAAGGAAGTTTTATAATAATGAAATTTAGATTCAGAAGAGCCCTTGTAGATAATCTTGATCAAGCAGTGAGAAAAGGTGAGGGTAAGAGAAAGTGCAGTGGACAAAGGCCCCTTCTCAGCAACCTAAGTTGTTGCACAGCTGGATCACCACAGGCTCAGTGGATACTCCTCACTGAGGAGTTTGCTTTCCCTTTACAGCATTTTGCAGTGTTTTCCTAAGTTGGCTGTTTCCCCCATGCTATGACCTGTCTTTCAGAGCCCCAACCCACGTTAATTTTCCTCATGCTCTCAGAATCCTATGCTCCCCTCTTATCTTCTAACATGTAGATGCTTAAAGTGTGTAACAATCATACTTTGAGTTATACAGCAGAGGAAACTCCTTTTTAAATCTATACCCAGACTTTTTTCCCACCTTACAGACTGAAATTTCACCTGCCCAATGAACTTCACCCCTAGACGAAGCCCAATAGGACTTGAAGCTTAACCTGCCTGCACCAGTATTGGGCTTGGTCCGTCCTGATGTGCTTCCTTCTGTGAAAGGCATCTCCCTAGAGTCACCTCAGCTTGAAACCACAGTGGTTTCTCTCTCCATCTCTCTCACATTCAATCCATTGACAGTCTTGTAGATTCTACCTCTGAAACATCTCCCCCATCCATCCCTTCTTTATTCCCACGACTATTAGCCCAATTCAGAATCTCATTACTGCCCACCAATCTTCAGCCTCTCGCTGCTTCCATCCGCTTTAAGCACAACTGTCAGATTATTTTCTGTAATAGTGATTTTCAGCATTCTCCTCCACACATTCAACAGTTTTCTTGTATCTATAAAATGACATGCAAAATCTTCGGGATTTTTAAGACCTTCCAAAACAAGGGCCAAATATTACTTTTGAACCTTATATTTAGGTTCTTTGTTTTTTTTTTTTTTTTTAGCTGAGCCATCCTGCCACCTGTTGGTAGCGCAGCAGCTGCTCAGCTCGGGCCGGGCCTCGAACTGGTGACCCTTCGCCAGTTGCTCAGAGCTCGCACTCTTGAGCAAACTCTTAACCAACTGAGCCACTCGGCCGGCCTCTAGGTTCTATTTTTAAATCACACTAGACTGTGTACCTTTCCTAATACATATTCCAATTTTTCCTGCCTCAATCTTAGCTTCTAACTGTTTCCTCTAACTGCAATAAATATCCCCATCTCCATGCGCCATTTTCCTTTCCCAACTGTCACTGGGCATCTTGACTTTTCCCCACAACTGAATATAATCCTTCTCCTCTTTAAATCTCTAGGACAGCTTGCTCGAAGTCATTTACATAGCATTGTACTTTGTATTATCTTTATTCATGCAAATATCATATATCCTGGTTAGAATCAATTTCTCAAAGATAGGAACTATGCTATACTTATCTTTGTATTCATTACACAGAACAAGAGCTCAATAAATGTTTATGAATTTTAATCAATTATTTATGTCATGGCATTTATATATTCTGTTGAAAAATTATACTTTACTAGTTAACTGGATTTGAATTTAAAGCAAGTTCTCTCAAAATACCTTCTTTATTATTACGTTTATGAGATAAACAGAATTCAGTCCAAAGTCATTAGTAGAGAAACAGCATTTAAAAAAACCAAAAAAATTGAAAGATAAAATAAGTTTTGGTCAGCAAGTTAAAAACATACTCCAAACAAAAATCTCACCCGAGAGAGGATTTATTCAGGTTTCTAGTCTCTTTGCCTCTCCAAAATAAAGGGCCATTATGCTCTTCCTTCACTAAAAGAAAAGGGAAAAAAAAGTTGATCATTATTATCATAATTTGATTACACTTATGAAGAAGATTTAGTCACATGTACTGATTTGATGAGTGTTCATAAATTTTCACAGAAAATTACAAGTACAAAATTATAAGCTGGACAGCATGATGAAACAAAAAGAGCTTTGGCTTTGACATTAAAACACATGATCAAGTTCAGACTCTTAAAAAGTATACACTTTACAAGTTACTTTATTGCTCTGGCCTCAGGGTCTTCATTTGCAAAAATGAGGATGATAATTCTGTGAAGGAAAATGAGATGAAGTGTATAAACATGACTCACATGATGCCTGGCAGAGGAAGCTGCAATAAACATTAACTGAATTTCAAGTAAAACTCAAAGAACCAGTCAAAACTTACATCAAGAAAACTGTCATGTCCTCCCCATCATGTGAGTATATTTTGTTTGTCTATGTGGAGGGATAAATAATAATCGTATTTAATAAGTATCATGAACAGCACCCACATTTACACTTCCATAAGCTACTGCAAGAGGCCAGCGTTAGCAACACATCCTGACCTCCAGTAGAAGCTCAGAGTTCCCGGTCTAACCACCTCCGCATCCTTGCAGAAGAACGGCTGTGAGTTAGGGATGCCCAAACCATCCAGAGAGCAAAGGAAAAGAGGGAAAGCTCTTGTTCCCACACAGAATTTCTTTTGGGGATTTCCCAGCTCTTTTAGCTGCTTCTTTTCTTGGTTTACTTGCTTCCCTTTCCTCCTCTCTCCCTTCTTTTTTCAGTTTGTTTTTCTTTTGAGGTTAAATTTACATAAAATGAACTGCAAAATCTTCAGTGTACTTTCACTGAGTTTGACACATTTCCTCTTGAACTGCTCTGTGAAACTCCTCTTACTCCCACAGGTCTGAGAGAAGCTTGAGGTACCTCCATGCTTGGGAGAAAACCCCCCTCACATTAGAGGACCAAAGACGATGCCAGATGGCATCTATAGCAAGATGGAGAGTGTGCCCCATTAAGGCTTGCTCTGGTCTAGGCAGAAGAGGTCAACACAGCCCCCCTGAAGTGCAGCCCAGCTCATCAGAATTGGAAACCACCTAGGGATTTGAGGCAAAAGGCCTGATGATAAAAAGTGTTCAGGAGGGGCAGCCGGTTAGCTCAATTGGTTAGAGCACAGCCATAACACCAAGGTTGCCGGTTCGATCCTGGCATGGGCCACTGAGCTGCACCCTCCACAACTAGATTGAAACAACTACTTGACTTGGAGCTGATGGGTCCTGGAAAAACACACTGTTCCCAATTTTAAAAAAAAAAAAGTGTTCAGGAACCTGCAGTCAGGAACGTGCAGCAGCAGGAGATAACTGTTGGAGTGGTCAAGGTGTAATGGTTATTTTGTGTTCCCAGCTATCTTCCTTCTTTGAGAAATTGTCCTCTTCCTATAGTTACCACAAATTCCCCCCTCTTTAAAAAAAGAGACTGCTCCTCCCATGAAAATAATGATCATTAAGCTTCAGTGCTCCTCACTTGTAGGAGTTCCTTCCAAAGTCTTCAGAGAGGATTCAACCATGCATTCACATGGTCAAATGTTTTTCTAAAATATGCAAAGGGAAGACATTTCAATCACAATCATTTAACATCACAGGCTTTTCCCACTTCAATTTTTCTTGGTCTCACTTCCCCTCTTGGGAGTGGCCATAGACACTTTATGTTTGTGGTTTCTTCTGCCCAGATTTCTTCAGTGTTGAGTCATTGTATTTGGTCCTTTAAGTCTTTTCTTAAAGAGGCTCTGCAAGTTGTATTGTTTTGGTCACCACAAAACCTGGATCCACCTCTGCCTCTGCCATAGCTGACTGGTCTAGGGGTAGACTTCTGATCCAAGTTGAGCTAATCGGTGTCTCCCCATAGATTCATGACGTTTGGACCTGGGAGGCAGAGCGAGGAGTCTTTGAAGCTCACTGGACCCTAGAAGAAGGTCCCCCGCAGGCCATGAAGGCCCGAGAACAAGCTCCTGGTTTCTGATCTTCCACTATTTGGCTTTTCTCTTCCTCTTTGGAGTCCCTAAGAGATTCCAAAATCCTTCCAATGAATTTCCTTTGGCATTAAGTTAGGAAGAATCAGTGTTTTCTACTTGTGAGCTATGAACCTTTCACTAATACATAAGTATCGATATTTAAGACCCCAATCATCACAGACACTTCTAATAGTAGGCATATCACAAATATAGGCACTAAATGTGATAGAAATAAGGCCTTTGATTACTGCTGGAATTCAGTAGAACACAGCACTTGCGGCCCAGAGGTCAGACAGGGTTGAGCCTCTCTCTTGCTTCAAGACCTCCTATTACAGAATGCCTAGGAGGGGAACCACAGGGGTCCGGGGTACACAGCAATACCTAACCCAGGGAACAAGCAGCTTGGAGGAAAACAGGAAACAGAGCACATCACTGCTGGAAAGGGGGAATGTTTCTGTCCTCTAATGTGTGCTATGTATGACTCCTTGTGGCAGTGGCCGTTTTGTTTTCAAAAGTCCTTGCGTAAAAGTGCGAGATGGTACCTTCAGAGAGGAAAGTAAAAAACAGGTGGGGAAAGCTGTAATTCTTAGGAATAACCATGCACATGAGCACAAGGTAAGTTTTTAAAAAAAACTCTTCACTGCTTTTAACATAATTTTCAAAGTTTCTAGGAATTTAAATTTCATAAATGTCTACCTGTAATTGGCTTCTTTAATGTGTGTTTTTGTATTCTTTTTTTTTTCCTTAAAGATTTTTATTGGGGAATTGGGGGATGGGAACAGCGCTGGGGAATTGGGGGAAGGGGAACATACAAGTTTCTGTCGTTTTGTTCTTCAGTCTAGTTGTGAAGGACATTACTTCACTGGCCCAAGTTGGCACCATCATTGCGCTCTTCCAGGGTGAGGCAGATCAGTCGCCGGCTTCAGGACGGCCACTCACGGTGGCTGCTGGCCGCTCACGCTGGCTGCTGGCCGCTCACCCTGGCTGCTGGCTACACACGGTAGCCCATGGCAACCTAATGCATCAGGGGCTGCAGCCTACACCGTCGCCCGGCGACTCATGGCAGCCCAGCTCCAGGTTTAGCTGTTGTTCAGTATCTTAGCTGTAGAGGGCAGTGTCACTGGCCCTCATATGTGGGATCTGAACCGGGGCCCTCTGGCTTCCCAAGCCAGCTCTTAACCAATGCGCCACTCGGCTGGCCCTGTGTTTTTGTATTCTTATACGTGTTGGAAGGGGGAAAAAAAGCCAAGAATAATTATGCTTGTGGACAAGGATAAATATGCATTTAAGGCAACCAACACCAGTTAGATATCCTAATTAGTGTGAAAAGAGACCTGGTGAGCACCCAGGGATCTAATAAGTCTGCTAATTACAACAGCTTCTACAAACAGTTGCCATGCCATGGAGTGTCAGCATGGAAAAGTGCTCCTCCGTGACAGGGTACAAACACCAAACAATCTTCTCACACTTTGTAGCTATTCAATGCAGGAAGACACTCAGAGCCCGACTTGGAGTGAAGTCTAGTGAAGAGTGAATGGGCCGGTACGGGCTAGTCTAGCTACGCTGGGCAGATGGCAGAAGCGGAAGGGCTGATCCAGTAGCCACCTTGGACCTCACGCTTTTCTTCTCCTTCTATGCCACAGATGAGATCTCAACAGCTGACTGCTTTCCTGCTGTGTGCCCAGCCCTGTCCACATAATTTCATGTAATACAACAACCCTGTGATGCTGATAACAGAGATGAGGAAACTGAGGCTCACAGAGGCTCAGTGACTTGTAGAAGGTCACACAACCAGGAAAAGTAAGAGCCAGGATTCAGATCTGGGCTCAGCTGAGTCCAAAGCCCGTGCTCTTTTTCTCTACTGTTTTCACCAACTCCCCATTATAGGGACTGATACCCTAAAGCCTCCTTTATACACATGTACAGTTCGAAACAATGAGCGCAAAGACAACAAGCGCGAAAAAGCGGGAAATGCAAGTAAAAAAAAACTACAACCACTGTATAAGACGCTCCCAGTTTTTAGACCCCAAATTTTTCAAACAAGGGTGCGTCTTATGGGGAAATATGGAAACTATCCAGAGTTTCCCTTAAGCCAGGATCGCAATTGATCCAGTTACCCCCTGCACTTCTTCAGGTTTTTCATTAAAATCTGGTTGTTTAAGATTATTAAAACCAAACAAGGACTGACCATATGGAATCCAGATGCTAACTAATGGTTTTTTATTTTTTTTAACCAGTATTTAATGAACATCCTCTTTCTGTCTTTTTCTGTTTTTCTTTCCCTTACTTCCTTCCCTCTCTCCCTCATTTCTTTCTGTTCTTTTCTTCCTTTCTTTCCTTTCTACATATCCTTCCTTATTCTTGGCAATCTGTGCCCTGGCATTGTGCTGCTGATAATGGATTGGTCAGCTCACGCGCAATGTAAAGAACATGATCTTCTCAGTATCTCGATAATCAGGGAATCGCAAACCATCATGGAAAGACAGCTCATACCTGTTAGGATGACTGCCTGTTATAAAAATGCCAAAAGATAACAAGTGTTGACAAGTATGTGCACTGTTGGTAGGAATGTAAATTGGTACAGCCATTCTGGAAATCAGTATGGAGGTTCCTCAAAAAATTAAAACTACCATATGATTCAGCAATCCTGCTTCTGGGAATATATCCAAAGGAAATAAAATTACTATCTCAAAGAGATATCTGCACCCGCATGTTCACAGCAGCATTATTTGTAGTAGCCAAGAGGTGGAAACAACCCAAGTGTCTGGCAACAGATGAATGGATAAAGAAAATGTACACACACACACACACACACACACACACCAATATTATTCAGTCTTAATAAAAGAAGGAAATCCTGCCATTTGTAACAACATGGATAAACCTGGATGACATTATGCAAAATGAAATAAACCAGGCATGGAAAGATAAATACTGCATAATCTCACTCATGTGGAATCTAAAACAGGAGAACTCATAGTAACAGAGAGTAGAATGGTAGTTACCAAGGACTGGGGTGTGGGGGAAGGAGGTAGATGTTGGATAAAGGGAACAAATTCTCAGTTATAAGATAAGCTCTGGAAACCAAAATGTACAGCATGATGACTGTAGTTAATGTACTGCATACGTGAAATTTGCAAAGAAAGTAGATCTCAAGTGTTGTCACCACACACACACACAGAGAGAAAGGTATGTGAGGTGATGGATATCTTAATTAGTCTGATTGTGGTAATCATTGACAATGTATACATATATCAAAACATCACACTGTATACCTTAAATATATACAATTTTTATTTGTCAGTCAAACCTCAGTAAAGCTGGGGAGGAAAAAAAAAGAAACGTATCTTTTCATGTGTCACTTTAAGAAATACATACCTTTTTTGTTGTTAGCCTTGGCATGATGAAATGGAAATAAAAATTTACTGACACCTTTTGATTTTTCACACTCTTTTTTCAAAGCGGTTGTATAGATGATACGAATGTGTTGGTTGGTTTCTCTATGTTGTGGACTCAAAAATTCTGGGTAATCATCAATCTGAAAAAAAAAAAATTAATTGAGGGCTGGCCGAGTGGCGCATTGGTTAAGAGCTGGCTTGGAACGCCAGCTCTGAGCAGCAGGGCCTGGGTTCGGATCCCACATGAGGGCCAGTGACACTGCCCTCTACAGCGAAGATGGTGAACAACAGCTCGACCTGGAGCTGGGCTGCCGTGAGTCATCGGCGACGGAATAGGCTACAGCCCCTGCTGCAGTGGGCTGCCATAAGCTACTGTGTGTGGCCGGCAGCCAGTGTGAGCAGCCAGCAGCTGGTGTGAGCTGCCAATAGCCGCCATGAGTGGCCATCCAGAGGTCGGCGACCGATCTGCCTCGCCCGGGAAGAGCGCAATGATAATACCAACATGGACCAGTGAAGCAACGTCCTCCACAGCTAGACTGAAGAACACAAGGACAGCAATTTTTCTGTTCCCCTTCCCTTGATTCCCCAGTGCTGTTCCCCACCAATTCCCCAATAAAATCTTTTTAAAAAATTAATTGAGCCAACTAAAGACAAATAATACAACTGCTTATCTATTTGGGATAAGAAATTCCCCAGTTTAGGGCAAGTTTAAACTGCATTCTTTCTTTTTCTTTTTTTTTTCCCTGGGAAACATTTCCTCTTCTTGCTGTTAGGGTTCCCTGTTCCTCCTCTATTTGTTTTAGTCCTTACTAAAAATGTGCTCAGCAACAGAACCCAAGAAACTATTTACACTATAGGACTGCTAACCAAATAGTAACAGTGTTTTTGTTTGTTAAAATATTTCTCTCCCCACTTCCATTTTGAAAGAAAGATTAAAAAAAAAAAAAGGTCTCAAAAGTGTATAATTAATTGGGTTTAAAAGTAGAGTTTTTTGATGTAGGAGGCAATGTACATTTGTAGGAACAGCCTACAACGAGTCCTTGAATACAGACATCTAGGTTTGAATTGTTGGAAGTTTCCTACTCCTATTAGCTTTCTCTTCTCTCCAAAGTGCTCCATTTTCTATTCTTGATTAAAAAGGGAAAAGGTCTCAAAAAATACCTTTCCTAGGGGGCCCCTGAAAAAATATCATAAAGATTTGCTCTTTTAACTTATAAACAGAGAAATGCTTGAAATAATTAAATTTATTTTGTCTATTTGCTATTGTAAATTTCACGGGAAGAATTGTCCAATCAGAAGAGATGCTCAGCCTTGCTTAGGTTAAATTTGCATAGATAAAATAGTATAAATATTTCAGAAATCTTATATTTTATGGGAAGTCCCTGAAGATTTGTCAGTGCCCTTCCTGTCCTTGATACATTTTTATTTATCAGTCTTGGTGGTGCTTGGCCTGATCATGTTAGACAACAGCAGTATAATGTTATCAGTCATAATTTCAGATATTATGTAAAATGTGGACTTGGTGATAGCCTTGTTTTTAATGTGAATGTACCACCTTCTGGACCATGAATTTTCAATGGGGAATTATGTCAGTCTTACCTACGCAGTCTGTAAAAAGTAGAGACTTCTTCAGACTTCCTGAATTTCTTTATTTGCTGTTCTTGGTTTATAGTTGGTACATTCTTGGTATTACACACACACACACACACATACACACACACACACACAC